CTTTTCATTTTGAAATACAAAAAGAAAGGAACTCCTTGATCAAGGAGCTTGATTCTATGTATTTTTGCTGAAATTTGTTCTATTTGTTTACATTAATTGAACATTATGTACTATTTAAAGCAAATAAAGCTATTATCATTATATTAAAACCAAAATCCCAGGGACTACCGGTATATGAGATTTGAACATCTAGTGTAACATTTCCCCCAAAAATGTAACAAACGCCTCCCTGCGGCGTGTAATTTCTGGGTTTTCTAACAAAAAATGATTAGAAAGTCATAGAATTTTTGATGTTTTATTTAGGAAATGTGTTTGCATATTTGATTTAAGAATGATTTGGTGTTTGTATCTTGTTTTAAGATTGACAATTTGCAGAATATTCATCCAAATAGTTATCCTTTCTGTGATATTTTAATAACTTTATTATTTGACATAGATAGTCCATTTACTGTGCAGAAGGGACAATTTGTTCAGCCAATATACACATTTTCAACATACATGTATATGAAAAAATGCGATCGATTCATAATGATATGTGTTTGTATATATATTCTTCTTATATGTGCTTGTACATTTATATGTAAAGTCAGGATCTGTGTTCATGTATATACCGGTAGATGTTTTGATATGTGTTTAAGACTGGCTTGATAATTGATATGTGCTTGTATATAAATATGTATACTTGCATTTTTGTCAGGGTATGTCTTTGTATATAGTAGTTATGATGTGTGTTTAAGACCGGCTTGATAATTGATATGTGCTTAAACATAAATATGTATACTTGCTTTTTTGTCAGGGTATGTCTTTGTATATAGTAGTTATGATGTGTGTTAGAGACCGGCTTGATAATTGATATGTGCTTAAACATAAATATGTGCACTTGCTTTTTTGTCAGGGTATGTCTTTGTATATAGTAGTTATGATGTGTGTTTAAGACCGGCTTCATATGTGATATATGCTTAAACATTAATATGTATACTTGCTTTTTTGTCAGGGTATGTCTTTGTATATAGTAGTTATGATGTGTGTTAGAGACCGGCTTGATAATTGATATATGCTTAAACATAAATATGTGCACTTGCTTTTTTGTCAGGGTATGTCTTTGTATATAGTAGTTATGATGTGTGTTTAAGACCGGCTTCATATGTGATATATGCTTAAACATTAATATGTATACTTGCATTTTTGTCAGAGTATGTCTTTGTATATAGATGTTATGATGTGTGTTTAAGACCGGCTTCATATGTGATATATGCTTAAACATAAATATGTGTACTTGCTTTTTTGTCAGGGTATGTCTTTGTATATAGATGTTATGATGTGTGTTAGAGACCGGCTTGATAATTGATATGTGCTTAAACATTAATATGTATACTTGCTTTTTTGTCAGGGTATGTCTTTGTATATAGATGTTATGATGTGTGTTTAAGACCGGCTTCATATGTGATATATGCTTAAACATTAATATGTATACTTGCTTTTTTGTCAGGGTATGTCTTTGTATATAGATGTTATGATGTGTGTTTAAGACCGGCTTCATATGTGATATATGCTTAAACATAAATATGTGTACTTGCTTTTTTGTCAGGGTATGTCTTTGTATATAGATGTTATGATGTGTGTTAGAGACCGGCTTGATAATTGATATGTGCTTAAACATAAATGTGTACTTGCATTTTTGTCAGGGTATGTCTTTGTATATAGATGTTATGATGTGTGTTTAAGACCAGCTTGATAATTGATATGTGCTTAAACATAAGTATATATACTTGCATTTGTTTTGTCAGGGTAATTGTTTTGTATAAAGATGTTATGATGTGTGTTTAAGACCGACTTCATAATTGATATGTGCTTTAACATAAATGTGTACTTGCATTTTTGTCAGAGTATGTCTTTGTATATAGATGTTATGATGTGTGTTAGAGACCGGCTTCATAATTGATATGACCACTGCTTAAACATAAATATGTGTACTTGCATTTATTTTGTAATAATATATGTTTATATATAGATGTTTTGCTATGTGTTTAAAATTTGATACAATGAAATGTGCTTGTATAACAATGAATAATTGTAGCTTTTGAAAGATTTGATCTGTCAGACTGCACAGATATGCATGCTAAGCCTAGATCAATGATTTAGGCATATAAGAAAGATGGTATGTGATTCACCATGATATGATTTTTTTTATATCCACTATTTGATATGTGCTTGTACATTCGTATAAAAACTTTTTTTCTTTTATTCTGTCATGATATGTGTCTGTATATCAATACAGATGTTTTGATATGTCTTTAAGACTTGCAATATTATTTGATTTGTGTGTATTCATCAATATATTAGCTTTCATTAATTTTGTCATGGTATATGTTTGTATATAGATGTATTATAAGAATGCCCTTACAGGTATTTTAAGGTCCTTTGTGCCTCCTTAGGAAATATTTTAAGGTCCCTAGCAGTCCTTTTCGCACCTGAGCAGTCCTTAGCGGTCCGGCAACTCATCGAAAGCATAAATTCTATCACCAAAATTATATTTTTTTCTTACAATAATACATTTTTGTCTATTAACTTACTACTATATATTATAAGAATGTTCTAGGAGGGATTTGAAGGTCCTTTGTGCCTCCCTAGCAGTTGTTAGTGCACCTGAGCACAGTCAGTCCTTAGCGGTCCGACAACTCTTCAAAAACATGAATTTTATCACTAAAATGATATTTTTTCTTAAAATTATACATTTTTTGTCACTAAACATACTACCATGAATTATAAGAATGCCCCAACAGTTATTTTAAGGTCCTTTGTGCCTCCCTAGGAAATATTTATAGGTCTTTGTGCCTGCCTAGCAGTCCTTTTCGCACCTGAGCAGTCCTTAGCGGTCCTGCAACTCATCGAAAGCATAAATTCTATCACCAAAATTATATTTTTTTCTTACAATAATACATTTTTGTCTATTAACTTACTACCATATATTATAAGAATGTTCTAGGAGGGATTTGAATGTCCTTTGTGCCTCCCTAGCAGTTGTTAGTGCACCTGAGCAGTCCTTAGCGGTCCGACAACTCTTCAAAAACATGAATTTTATCACTATAATGATATTTTTCCTTAAAATTATACATTTTTTATCACTAAACATACTACCATGTATTATAAGAATGCCCTTACAGGTATTTTAAGGTCCTTTGTGCCTCCCTAGAAAATATTTTAAGGTCCCTAGCAGTCCTTTTCGCACCTGAGCAGTCCTTAGCGGTCCGGCAACTCATCGAAAGCATAAATTCTATCACCAAAATTATATTTTTTTCTTACAATAATACATATTTGTCTATTAACTTACTACCATATATTATAAGAATGTTCTAGGAGGGATTTGAAGGTCCTTTGTGCCTCCCTAGCAGTTGTTAGTGCACCTGAGCTGAGTCCTTAGCGGTCCGACAACTCTTCAAAATCATGAATTTTATCACTAAAATGATATTTTTCTTAAAATTATACATTTTTTGTCACTAAACATACTACCATGAATTATAAGAATGCCCCAACAGTTATTTTAAGGTCCTTTGTGCCTCCCTAGGAAATATTTATAGGTCTTTGTGCCTGCCTAGCAGTCCTTTTCGCACCTAATCAGTCCTTAGCGGTCCTGCAACTCATCGAAAGCATAAATTCTATCACCAAAATTATATTTTTTTCTTACAATAATACATTTTTGTCTATTAACTTACTACCATATATTATAAGAATGTTCTAGGAGGTATTTGAATGTCCTTTGTGCCTCCCTAGCAGTTGTTAGTGCACCTGAGCAGTCCTTAGCGGTCCGACAACTCTTCAAAAACATGAATTTTATCCCTATAATGATATTTTTCCTTAAAATTATACATTTTTTATCACTAAACATACTACCATGTATTATAAGAATGCCCTTACAGGTATTTTAAGGTCCTTTGTGCCTCCTTAGGAAATATTTTAAGGTCCCTAGCAGTCCTTTTCGCACCTGAGCAGTCCTTAGCGGTCCAGCAACTCATCGAAAGCATAAATTCTATCACCAAAATTATATTTTTTTCTTACAATAATACATTTTTGTCTATTAACTTACTACCATATATTATAAGAATGTTCTAGGAGGGATTTGAAGGTCCTTTGTGCCTCCCTAGCAGTTGTGAGTGCACCTGAGCAGTCCTTAGCGGTCCGACAACTCTTCAAAAACATGAATTTTATCACTAAAATGAAATTTTTTCTTAAAATTATACATTTTTTGTCACTAAACATACTACCATGAATTATAAGAATGCCCCAACAGTTATTTTAAGGTCCTTTGTGCCTCCCTAGGAAATATTTATAGGTCTTTATGCCTGCCTAGCAGTCCTTTTCGCACCTGAGCAGTCCTTAGCGGTCCTGCAACTCATCGAAAGCATAAATTCTATCACCAAAATCATATTTTTTTTCTTACAATAATACATTTTTGTCTATTAACTTACTACCATATATTATAAGAATGTTCTAGGAGGGATTTGAAGGTCCTTTGTGCCTCCCTAGCAGTTGTTAGTGCACCTGAGCAGTCCTTAGCGGTCCGACAACTCTTCAAAAACATAAATTTTATCACTAAAATGATATTTTTTTCTTAAAATAATATATTTTTTGTCACTAAACATACTACCTTGTATTATAAGAATGCCCTAGGAGGTATTTTAAGGTCCTCTGTGCCTCCCTAGCAGTCTTTTGTGTATCTGAGCAGTCCTTAGCGGTCCGACAACTCATAAAATTTTCACCAAAATCATATTTTTTCTTAAAATTATAATTTTTTTTTCACTAAAAATAATACCATGTAATATAAGAATGGCCTAGGAGGTATTTTAAGGTCCTTTGTGCATCTTTAGTAGTCCTTTGTGGCTCCTTAGCAGTCCTTAGCGGTCCTTAGCAGTCCTTAGCAGTGTTTAGTAGGACCGATTGAACAAGTCTACCCTACTTAAATATTTTGACTTTGACAAGAAAATCCGATGACACATACATACCAATCCTATTCTTTCTATTACAGTTCAATCAAAAATAGCTGTAGTCTGTTTACTTTCCTTCCCAACCACTTGTCAGGCCCATGTGTTTACCGTCAAAACATGGCCATGGCGATGATATAGCACGAGATATTTGTAAATACAATATTACAGCAATGGCATGTGTATTGTTTAGAACATTTTATAACCCTTAGTTAATGTAAATAAGTGTATTTTAGGTCTAGAAAAATGCGAATGAAGGTCAATATTTTAGCGTTCATTTGGGCATGCTCACGCGAAGTTCCCCGGATGTACTATACGACTTCCGCTTTATGAAAGGTTTCACTGTGTGTAACGTGTTCATGTGCATGCAAGATTCGGCATAATGCGGGAAATCACATGACAGCATCTGAGATTGTCTTGAGGGGTGGTGTGACCCGTGGTGAATTGTCTTGTTCAGACTCTTTCAAATAGAACATTTCGTTAACTATTTTTTTTTCTAAAACTGTGTCCTTGTCTGGGACTTACAATATTTTAAAACCCAGGTTCAGTAAAGTTTAAGACGTCCGTTTTTCCTTGTTTGAAACAGTCATTTATTAATTTTTTTAAATTATTCTAGATCATGCATTAATAAATAGGACAGAATTTCTTAAAATTAATGAAAAGCTGAAAGGAGTTGAATACTTGAGACTTGTGCTTTTTATAGTTAATTGTTATAATTATACTTTATGGTTCCAAATACCTCATTAAAAAAACTCTTCCTATTGAAAATGACACAATACATTGTATATAATTATCAGAAATAATATTTAACAATATACATTGCTTAGAACTGCACAGACCCTGCAATTAGAAATTATGTCATCCACCAGTATTTTTGTGTGTGCACCATCCGTTCACTAACCGACTAACTGTTAACCCTGACAAAACATTAGCACAGTGATAACTAAAGAAAAATTAGGAACTTCTAAGTGATGCACTTAATATCAGTTAAACATATGTTTCATTGGAACAAACGTGTTTACAGAGACATCTTTGGTGTTTAAAGAAGACTCAGAAACACTTGTATTTTTTTTCAGTAAAACAAAACTTATGGTGTATTGTCCCAGGGTCTATCGAGTTTGAAAGACCTGATTATCCCGAACATTAAAAATGTTCAGACTTATTTCCCCCTGGCGCCAACCAGACACATTACTAAATTTTACTATCCACCACCGTGGATGAATGACTCACTGCAGCGTCCGATAACAAGGATCAGGAAATAGTGCGTCTGCTGATGTGGCTTAAAAAACAACAACAACAAATTTGCGATTTGCAACAAATACCGGTTTGTTAATGATTTATTGAGATAAAAACGGTTTATTTTGTTCCTGATACACAATTCATTAAATTTAAATTCTGTCTATATAAACTGAGAAAATAAATAGTGAAATAAATGCTGTTCTGTAGCATAAAATGAAGAGTTGCTGAAGTGTACCAGTTTCTGGATGGAACATAAAAAATTTATCTTGACATTACACATATTAATCATTTTTTTTTTTACTGCTGTCAATAGTTTCTTTGATTCCGGGTCAGCTCGGCCCTAAAACGTACTCGGCCCCCGAGTCAGGTCGGCCCTATACCAACTCGGCACGGGTCAACTCGGCCCACTTTTCAATTATTTATATTTAGGTTTGTGTAATCACTATTTTTTGTAATATTTGTAATTATGTATAATACACGGACTTAATTTTCAGCTTTTGACAATTACAAACAAATTAAATGAAATTGGTTAAAGACATTAAAGGGACTCTTATTGTCACAGGCTATTATTATCAATCAGTGTGTTCGTAAGGATACCGATTAATTAGGTGATAATTATGATTGACGCATTCATTTAAAATTGATTAGTGACCACCTGCAATTAATTAGAAGCTTAATTATGATATTAAGTAAACATGTTTTTGTTTCATATTTTTTTAATATTATACTCAACATCAGTAATTCCGCGTCATCATTTATCTCACGGTAATGGCATATTTTCATGTGACCATTGTTATAATTGGTCAGAATTTACATATTTTATTCAAACAACTTAACAACAAAGCTTTTGTGCAAAGTAATTTAAATCTATAGATTTTTACATAAAACTGAACAACATTTTACAAACTTCTGCAAAAAACAACAAAAGTCCATTAAATTTGTGCATACGTCTGAAACAATCATCATTTTCTTAATGTTCCTGTTTGTTGAAAAAATAAATTTTGAGTTACAATGTAAAAATACTTTAAATTTTTATAATTATGCAAAATAACTTAAAGAAATTTTAACTGTAACATGAAAAAACTAAAATAAAACACCATTACCGTGAGGTAAATGATGACATACTGTTTTCAAAATGGCTGACACACGGTTTACATCTGACAAATTAAAACTAATTTTGATTGAATATATTGTTGTTTCCTTGTGCCATATAGCAGAAAAATGACTAAATGATACAGTTTATGACAGTTTTTGTAGTGTAAATTTATTGTTTGTGTTCTTTACTGTTTTAAAGTGTTAAGTACCGTGAACTAAGAGGAGCACAGTATACTACGTTAAATATGTTTTTTTAAAGTGGGCCGAGTTGACCCGTGCCGAGTTGACCCGTGCCGAGTTGGTATAGGGCCGAGTTGACTCTTTTCCGTTTCTTTAGTCATGAAATCAGTATTTGGTCTTAAATATGTCCTTTCTTAATATATAATGTAGCTTACATGTACTTTCCATTTTTCATGTTTATATGATTATCATAATAATAAAATTCATTATCTATTTATCTACTAAATAAATGATTTATAAATGTAATATTTTCTGTATCCATGACTCCCTTTATAATGTACATGTATAATGTTGCAACTTTCTCACAGGTAGGGAATGGGCTCTTCTCTTTAATGTTTTGGAAATAACACTGTAATTTTACAAAATGGGAAGAATACACATACTTGATGCAAATTTTTTTTAGGAAAAAAAATGCATAATTTGAAACATTCTTTAATGGATAAGATGCCTGTAAATTGCCCCTGTTTGAAATGATAAAAAGCTTTGCAATTTTTTTATATAAATCATTTTATTTAAAGTGATGGAAACTGCATAAATTCATCAAATCAGAGTGAGGAGTTGATATCCCTATGTGCAAAAAATGAAGGATGCTACCCAGGAAGCTGATCTATGTGTACTTTGTTGGTGTAGTGTTTGCTATAGGATGGATATATTATAATTTTGGTAAGCATACCATTACATATATATGATATTGTATTTTTCACAAGAATGTTGCATTTATGATACTTTACTGAATAAGGTCAGCCCTTTGATAATGATACTTTATTGAATAATTTGATAATATTATGTTCATTAAAAAGAATCTGTAGATTATTTTATTGGAATATTCTCTGTATTGACTCTTTGTTAATTGGTCTACAGGTAGTGGATGTCAAGAAAGTGGCGATGACTTTGAGTTGGAAAAAAAGAAGGTGCAAATCTTACAGCAGAAACATGAATCACAGAAAAGTGAAATTGAAGTGCTGAAACGACGAGTTGATGAATATAAATCAGAACTCAGGAAAGCTGAGATAAGACTGTCTCATTTAAAAAATGAAAATTCAGGTCTTCCAAAAATTTTCCTCATTACTCCTACTCATATGCGGCCGCAGCAAAAGGCAGAGCTTACGAGGCTGTCATACACTCTGCGACTTGTGCCAAATGTGCATTGGATAGTTATTGAAGATGCTGCAGCCAAGACTGTACTTGTGAGCAAATTTTTGACCAATTGTAAAGTTCCTTACACACATTTGAATATAGCCACCCCAGGAAAGTTAAAATTAAAGGTAAGATTTTTAGGGATAAAGAATTTAAAGTTTTATCTAAAACTGATTTTGTCAAACTGATTTGTCATCAAAGATGAAATTGAAAACATCCAAAACATTTTAGAGATAAAAATTAATGTGGTTTATATAATACTAGGCTTTTGTTTTCCATGCATTAACATCTGTTAAAGTATCAGAATTCAGTACTTCTGTACATTAGTACTATAAGAGTACTCAAAGCCCAGACTCAGAAGCCTTAGGATTTAGACATACATTTGCGCTCTGAAAATGTTATTTTCCCAAAAGATGATTGTACACTGATGAAATTAATACATTTCATTTGAAAGTATACAATGTACCATGTATCTTCTTTTGGATGTACTATGTATGCTTTATAAAGTAACATGCATTTAATGACGCATGTCTGATTAATGTTTTAAATATTCATTTTGTAAATTATTCTGGGGAATGAAAAGGAGGACTTAAATATTCTCTTAATCAACTCCTTCTTTTTGTCAGATAACATTTAACTTCATTATGTGTTTTAAGATCAGAAAGTTTAATTTCTTTACCTATACATCCATTTCAATGACTTTCCGAAACTGTTTTAGGAAAGTGATCCAAACTGGTTGAAACCTCGAGGGGTACACCAAAGGAATGCAGGGCTGGACTGGATCAGGAAACAGCCATTCACCTCGGGTGTTGTGTACTTTGCTGATGATGATAATACTTATGATATACAGTTATTTGAAGAGGTTCGCATATCATTCTGTTTTAATGTTTTTAGTCTGATTTGAGTGTAAAGCTTTGCAACGCTTTCCATTTTTGGGTCATTTTGCACAATAAAAGTGAGTATTCTGGATAAACAGGGTGAGGGAATGATCTTAAAATTTGCACACTGGTTAATGGCCCAGACCTACATCAAATGGTACACAAATCTCGGAAACTATTTCCTGTCTTGCCAAGACTAAAAACTTCAGTGTCCAGTCCCTTTAAGTTCATACAATGTTAATTAACAAATCTTGCATACTATTGTGAACTCTCCCACTTTTAGTTGAAGACTACCACTTTCTGCAGCCATATTTGCAAAGATTTTTCTTAAAATTAGGATTTTTTTTTCACAAATTAAATAAATCTTCCTATTTTTGATGTCAGAACTTCGTTCTTTGTTTATTGCAAATTCTAAAATCTCCCTCTTTTTGAAGATAAATCTCCCACTTGATCATGAATTAAAGTTCACATGTATGATCTTGTAATACTGTTATCTTACTTTAACCTAAATATCAAACTGGGTGAGCAGTGTTCTCATGGTCCCTGTATCTACCTCTCATTTGAGGGATTGAATGCTCAAACCCAACTGTGCCACGTTTTCACATAAGATTCCAGTATTAGATCCAGGAACCGGGCATTGGAGTTGTTTGAATAAGCTTTCTTGACAGTCAAGATAGACTAACTAATATTCAACAAATATGATATTTCAATTAGTTATATATGAAAGTAGCAGATCTGAAATGGTTGATTTATAATTAATTGCTTGCCATTATAAGGCAACTATAAGAAACTGAATAAAGTACAAATGGCAAGTTAAGGCTACTCGGAAGTGACTTGGTTAGCTCAAGTTAGACTGTACTTGATTTTGATTTCAGTTTATAATATAATTTATCAAATTTCAAGGTGATTATAAATAGATTTTCATTGGTCTATACTTCTTGTCTAATAAATGTGTAAATAAACACTTCCTGATAAAATGGTATACTTTTAACATTCAATTTAAATCTGTGAATTCAATAATATTTGATGATCATAATTTTATTCAGTTAACATAGACTGTAAGCAGTTTAACTGGCAAAATTTCTCAATGGTTTGTTTTATTTGTAGATGAGATTCACAGAAAAGGTTTCAGTTTGGCCTGTGGGTCTGGTAGGATACCTGTGGTATGAATCACCAGTTGTTAAACAGGGAAAGGTATGCTTTTAAACTGCTTTTGATACAATATTGTATATTTCGCTTGTTGTATAATTTTTACTTTCATAATTACATGTACGTACATATAGCCAAAGAAATTGAATAGAAAATGAATAAGATAGGCTGTAAGTTAAACTTAAGTTTATAAATAATTTTAAAAGTGTTTTTCTTTTCTTTTTTTTCTTTAAAGAAAGGTTTGTTGATAAGTATATTGTTTCTTTAACAAATAGAAAATTGAATAGTTCATTATTTATAACGTGCTGGAACTGAAAGTGATAAGCCCTTGCCACTAGTATACAGCTATTTGTGCAGCCTGACTAAGTTTTAAACTGTTAGTACAAATGTAGCTCATTTTTTTTGTTTTTCAATATTGTAATCCCTTCACTTTCTATTGGACTATTCCAAATTGAAAGTAGGGCAATTATAAAAAAATTCAGGAGATTAGAGGTTGATATTCTTAGGAAATAGATATTAATTTTGAGTGCATTGTTCTAGAATAGTCCACGGTCAGAGTTGAGATGCGTAGGAATATAATCACGATGGCTGAAAGCTTTTGAATGATAAGCTGTTCATTAGTATACTATAATGCTGTGCATTATTTTACTATAATGCAAAAAATCAATGTCCATTTCCATTCTAACATGCTAATATAAAAGAGAATGGATAAAAAATATGTTGAATTATATTGAGCATAGAAGTAATTTTTCTGTCGTCATTTGCTTTATTGACGTCATATCTGATGTCATATGACATGTAAGCATTCCTTTTTATGCTGTACATAATTATAAAGTGTAAATAATGCACTTGACTGCCCTATCTGTTTCTTAAGGGAATAGTGTGAAGCATGTTAGAATAATTCTTTAATTAAGAAAAAAACTGGTTTATAAAGGTTATAGGTTGGTATACATTCTGGAAACCAGAGAGGCATTTTGCTATGGACATGGCTGGCTTTGCAGTTAACCTGAGATTATTCAAAGACTACCCAACAGCAAAGTTCCATGATAGTGCTGGTAGAGGTAACCTAGAGTCGGACCTACTCACACAGTTAAATGTCCAGCTGACAGATCTCGAGCCCAAGGCAGAAAAATGTACTAAGGTATGATAGATAATGATTAAAATATGTTCTTATTTAAGTATTTTGCTCTTTAGGAAAATCTACTTAATACAGCGACATTGTAAAATCGGATATTTTCTTACAGCAAAAGTTTTGTTAAGCTAAAGCCTGGATAAATGTATAAATGTAAAGATGATTGCTGCAAAATTATTATATTCGTAGGGCACTAATTTTTGTAGTTTCCTTGAAAGGTAAAACCACAAATTGAAGATCCAACAAATTTTCATTTTGTGTGCTGTAAGGTTATTTTGCATCACATTATTTACATTTAACCTTTTGGAAAAATAAACAGTCCACAAATTCAAGAACCCAAGAAAAAAAAAATTTTGTGACAAAACCATGAAATTTCATTCCCATGAAATTATGTGAATGCACAGTACCATTTCTTTTTGAGGGTTGGACTTTATGTCACTCTAACACTGTAATAGTCATTTGATGACTTTCCTGCATAAGTACCGAAGAAAGGTCTCGGGGTGCCCTTCCATAAATTATTCCAGGCTTAAAGGGGGAAATCTTAGTATAAAATAATTTACGTTTTCGTAAGCTAGCTGGATAGCTTCCACATATGAAAGAATCGAATTGAACACACAGTGATGAATATCTAGAGGTTAAATATTTCAGTTTATTGTGTAGGCTTAGAGGGACTCCTTTGGTAAATATAGTTCATAAATAGGGAAAAGTATACCTAAATGCTTCAGATAACAGTCATGTTTGTAATACTTGACACTTTAATGGTACGAAAATGGTAATCACCCTTTTTTTTTGTCGATTGCTGGTCATCAGTTTATTTATTGTCCTAGAAAATTTATGATAAACATGCCTAAAGCTTACGTTCAAACATTTGCAAGAAGTTTTATTTTGTAGAAAAAAAAACAATTGTATTAATTAACATATATTTCATGTATTACATTAGTTTGTTGTTTAAAAGAAAGAATTGGGATAATCTTAAAAGTGTTATTATTTTATAGGTGCTTGTTTGGCATACAAGAACAGAAAAGCCGTCGTTGAAAAATGAAGAAAAAATGATGATGAAAAATGGCTTTAATTCTGAGAACGTCTTAGAAGTTTAACTGTAATTAAATAATGTCCAAGTATATCTTGGAAGTTAAATTGTAAATTACTGGTATCACCTAGTCTTCACAAACCTTGTGACAGTGTGTGAAAATGGTTCAAAACCACAACAGCTTTGTACAGCATTAAATTAGTAGTGAATTTGATACTGCATGTAATTCTCTGAAAACAGCCGAATATTTTTTAATATCTTTCGTTGAATATTAAATAAGATATACGTAAATAATTTCAAATGCCAATTTCTTTTTGTAGATTTTAGAGTAGTAACAATGATGCTATGATTTTGATGATGAAATATCTTAGTTAATGGCAACATGGATAATGACGTACATGTTTTACCAGTATACAACATGTGCCATCAACATTTAATAAGGTCTGACTGCAGTATTCTTTTGCCTGCTGAATATCAGCATGTTCACATTGAAATCCTTTAATCATACTATAGACAGCTTCAAATTTACTACTGGACTAGTCCATTATACAAATGAAGGGGGATGAAAGTTAATTGAAATGCAGCAGTAAATGCTACACAAGTAAGTAATGAGGTTGGTAGAAAGGGAATTTTATCAGTATATTACATGTAAATATAAGGTCAATCAGGGAGCATTATTTATGTCAACTTGATTGTGGCTTATTGAAACCCTCCTAGAACTTACAAGTACTTGCATGATAAGAAAAAATAAACTAAGCCCTTTTCTGACTGAGAAGGGCTAGATATCTAGAATCCCTGGATATCTAGAACCCCTGGATATCTGGAATTCCTGCATATATTAAATCCCTGAATATTTAGAATTTCTGGATATCTAGAACCCCTGGATATCTAGAACCCAGACTTTTTAATCACGAAAATGATGTACAAAGACATCTTAGTGGGAGTAACATTCCCTCCCCTAGCATTTTTAACATGATTTGTATGTAACTCCAAAGCATAATTATTTATCTTTCATTCAATTAAGTTGTGGATTTGACTCAATACAGAATTAGAGCAGTATCTCTAGATGCTTGCAGAAATCATGATCACAAAATAGACAAATATCGTTTTTTTTTCGCCGATTATTACATTTTTCATTCACTATCATACATAAAGCAGTGTAAAAAGATGAATTAGACCTTTTAAAGTTCATTTCGTAAGGTAAAAGGCGTGATTTTAGCATTAAACATTCAAGAGTCTTGTCCGGTATGTACCGGAATACGGTATTAAGTGTGGTGCTCCAATCCTTTTTTTTAGTCTCACTCTTATGTTATTACAAAGATATTTAGTCTACAACACATACAGGTACATGTATTCTGTTATTAAATCTAATCAAGTATTGTTGTAAAGGAACTTATCATTGTCAAAAAAAAATATATTTATGGAGTAGATAAAGGGATATATTCCATGTTCAAATCAAAATGATAAACATCATATTTTTTATGAGCTATTTAAAGGTTGGATGATGCATTTGGATGAAAATAAATCAGTGTGAATTTATTTGATAACTCAAACATTATGCATATTTTGATAATTTCTTAATAGGAATATATTCATAAAATTATAAAACTGAGAGATATGTTTTATTCTGGTAGCTTATTAGGAGTCATATACATGTAGTTCTATATTTACAAGTCTTATCTTGTTTTTATGATACACAATTTGTAGCTCATTCTCCTGTTATTAAGGGACCACTGTTCTGTTATATAATATGTAATATATTTTTTTTTTTTTATTTGTGATGACAGATAAAAGGTTGTACTTGCCATTTTTAATGTGGATAGTGGCTTTTTAAAGTTGATTATTGTTATATAATGTGACAGAAAAAGGTAATGTGTCTTCGTGAATACATGTATTACTTTGTTATACATTGTATATTTAAGAAATAATATATCCCAAACAGTGATTTTATCGCTCAATAAAATCACTGTTTGGAGTTCAGATGCAAGGAATTATATCACGAGGGTGTATCCTAAGTGATGTAATGATGCGCATCCAAATGACAAACAGTGATTTTGTCAAGCGATAAAATCACTGATTTGGATATATTATTTCAATTCGAACACGAAATCAAGAAGAAAACGCTGCTGTACCTGATATTAAGCTAAATTGCGTCTTATTTGTTTCCGTACTTATTTTCAGGGCGTCACATTTTTAGTGGTTACGTCACATGTATTATGATTATGTCACATGTCTAAATATAGAACCTCAAACAATGATTTTATTGCATAATAACACACTCTTTCGGTTCCTTTAAGTTCAATAGGGAAAAAATGCAGGTCGTGTAAGAATTTACAATAATATGTTTTGATAAACACTCAGCTTATGTTTTTTTCTGGTGCTTGACAATTCATAGTTTGCAAAAATATTTCATCTTTGTAATGTATTTGTATCTCACAGCATGCCTTAATGTTTTAAAGCAGTCACATCCTTTCATGGTGTTAGAAATACACATTTTTTGTCAGCGATACATAAACTGCGTAAAATTGAAATATTGCTAAGTTCAGGGCTTTCAGGTTTTCTGACATTTTGAACTTGCACCCACACATTCTGGCAATAAACTTTCACAAGAGCCAAGAGGTCAGTTGTGATCTTTAACTTAAAACAGCAATTTTTTTTTGTACCTCACAACAGCATGTGTCAGGTGTCATATGGCAGCTGTGAAAAGTTGCCCTGAACTCCATTACAATGTTGTTTAATTTTTCTGGTCCTTAAGGAACATTGATTTAAGCACATTAAGTGTTGAAAATTGAGTACTGCTCAAGTGAGTGAGTGAGAGATGTTTCACTTTTCCATTATCTTTCATGTACAGACTCAGTGAGTCTGGACTTTTCATGTAATTTTGTTGTTATTAATTCTTCCGAGGCATAATGATCAACCTTTTTTCCAGATTTTTGTGTCGCCTGCTACAGTAGCAACAATTTATAGGGATCACTACTCTCGTTGGCTTTTCACACAGGTTTTCTGCTTGAATGAGTTTTGGTTCTGAGTTATGGCCCTTAAATAAAAAAAGCATTTTGACCTGTTAGTGATTTTTGTGTCTCCTGCTATATGGTAGCTGCATCATGTAATTGGCTCATGTGCATTGTATTCTAAATTTGAGTGATTTACCTCATTTTCAAAATTCACATATAATTTTGTTGTGCAAATCTAAAACAGTTCATTATCAGTAGATTGAACAATACAAGTCTTGCCTCAAAAATGATTTATTTTTATTAAATATCACAGAATTGTATTTTTTTTGTACTTCTAACTATTGCCATTATGTTTTTATAACTGATTTTAAGTCTTCATACTTTGTTACATTTTATTAAACAATTGAAAATCAGTCACATTTTCTAAAGCTCTTTTGGTTATATTTAGACAAAGGATTATGACAATTATAGGTAATTGGAGAGGTGTTTTGAATGTTGAAAGGTGTGTAATTGAATAATCAGCAGAAGGAAACCAAATGTCGTTCGTTTAGTTACGTTTAGTTACAATTGCTTCCATTTGTTTGAAAGGGATATGTGCTAATACACTTTTTGTACAGTATATGTAAACAATATTGTTATTTAATGATTGTTATAATTGATTGAATAAAATAATGTGAAAATATTACACATTTTCTTTGTAATAAATTTATAAAAGCCAAAGAACCCATACTGCTGGCCTAGTGGTTGAGGCATCCGCCTTGGTTTCAGGAGGTTGAAGGTTCCAGCCCTTACGGGGAGCGTTAATTGAAGGATGAATGTTTCTCGTGGGACCTGATCCGAAATGGCGGCTTTGTGAGCCAGGAGGTAGTTAAAATAAATGGTTACCGATTTCTATCCGCCTGGCGCCTGGCATAGTGGTAGGAGTTGGGAGGTACATGGTATGCAAGCAAAAAGTGTCTCAAAAGTCAGAAATGGCTGGCCCTTCAGTATGGGTGACACTATAATAAACAAGACCTTTACCATATAACAAATATCAAAACATAATGACAGATCTTTTATTTTCAAAATGGCTTATACTATATCCAACAACTTGGCAAATGAATGAATGAAGCAACATGTTAAATAATTCAGTTACACAGTTATACATGTGATTGTCTAAACTTAAACTTGCAAAACAGGCTTGCATGCTATATAAACTCTAGAGGATACTGATGCATTTTCTGAAAATATGAAATATATTTCACATCAAATGATAAACAAAATTAAATACAAACAAAACAGAGAAAATATTGATTTTTTCTCTCTTTAAAATGAAGCTTGTTCCATATTCACCAAATTTAGTATACATTTTTTTTAAGCTATTCAGTTTTTTAATGAATAATTTACAGTGAGTTATATAGAGTTTATCTCATTGATAAAACATTCAAATTATGTACATGTATATCTTTCTTTAGATATTTCACATTAAGGTATAAAAAATGCTTTGAAATGATTTTTTTTTCAATGATAATGCAGAGCTAAGGAAAATGAATATATAAGTATTAGGCTCACGAATTACTGCCAAACTGTATACACAAATGACGAGATATATAAAACAATATTTTCCTATCAAATTGACTATACAGGGAAAAGCTATTCAAAAGCTATCACTGATAATGACTTGTCTATGCCACCAGTATAGAACCAAGCCAACATATACTTCTGAACAGCTTAACCAGACACTACACTCCTTCCTGCCTATACAGCTGTCTTCTAAATGTTATAAATTGATATCAAAATCCCTTCATATAACAAGAGCCACTGCCTAGAGGGGACCACTCTCTACTTTTTCTTATTTCTTAAGTAATAAACACATCAGAGGAAAATAATCAACACATCAGAGGGAAAATATGATAGTAATGAATGTCAAGCAAATAATTGTTAAAAAATGTATATACTAACAGAAGCATTTAAATGTTAAGATGGACACATTTTGATTTAAAGCTTGAAAACTCAAAAAGATGATGAAATAGCTAGAAAGCTTACCTATGACCTCATAAAAGCTCAACTATGAGCTCATAAGAATGTAAGCTTACAAAATTTTAATGGAATGAGGTATAATGTTGAACAACGATTACAAAATGTCAGAATAAAATCTCTATACAAAACTTAATATATACATAACATGCTTAATTCTTCATTAGATTTGTTTTCCAAAACACAATAAAAATTATAAAAGACAAGTTAAGAACCACATCTACCCCAGTCATACAAGTTAAGATATAGTTTCGAATTTCAATTAAAAGTACATTAAAATTAAATAAAATCTATATACATAAAACTATTTTATAAATAATTGATGATGTTTTATTTCATAATGTTTATTTTCCACATCAAGTGTGACATCACAAACATGTTTACATCATTTCAAATGAAGACCCTTTATAAAGCGTTATCAGGTTTTGATTTGTAAACATTGTCATCCTTAATATGCAAAGTAATAAATACCTAACCATCTTTAAGGATACTAAAGTGAAAGTTACATGCCTCAAATTCAATTCACTTTATTTGGATACTCGATACACAATTTTATAATTACAACAAATATAAACTTAACCTGCTGAATTTCTGAAGAACCATCATGCTCGAACTGGCTATTCTTAGAAACTGCATGCCTTTAGATGAGTTAACAACTTGCATGCATTTTTATCAACACAAATTCACCATTGATGTGACGAATGGCATTAAAGGGACTCCACTGAGGTTCAAAAGCCTAAAAATATAACATTTGAATTTCTTACATAAATGAGCTGGGGCACTTTAAATAGAAATGTATGCAAAGAAACTTAAGAAATATACTTTGAAATGAATTGAAAATCATAATTTTTATGCTTTTCCTAGCCTGATTTGAGTGAAAAGTGTTTATACGATTTTCATTTTGGGTCATTTTTTACAATTTGAATAATTATTCTGAAAAAACGAAGTGAAGTCACGAATGATCTGAAATTTTGTACAAAGATTAGTGGTCTAAACCTACATCAAATGGTACATTTATCAGGAAAAATATTTTCAGTCCCATCATATCAAAAAACTTCAATGGAGTCCCTTTAAGTTTGTTTTCAAAATACGATAACTTTACTATTTCTATCTACATAATTATAACTACCATATTACCAATGTAATATCACCCTAGTACCCTATTACCATCATCGGAACCAACTACACATTCTGTATATACTACATTTAATACTGGTATATGGTAAATAAACCTTGGTTACCGAGGCTGGGTACAGGTATTTAGTTAACTATTTACAGTGGATAGAAATGTTAATGCATGCTTTAGGCAAAGTTTATTCACTTTTTTGTACACATTTCTACATTTTTACAACTGGAACATTTTCTTCGTTTTTTTTTTAATATATATATAAAAGTTCTAATTATTAATAAATCTGGCGAGCTTTTCACTAATATTCCGTACATTTAGCATATCTTTTTACGTAAATTTAGACTCACGCAAAACCTAAATTTACGTAAGTTGCATTTCAATAAAAGGACGTGCAACTTCCACCAGCAATAAGTGAGCGTAACTTTACGTTTAAACCTACGCAAATGTGTAGCTTAGAAAGTTTAGTGAAAGTAAGTTCTGCTTACGCAAACTCGAGTCACGATAACGTAAGTATGTTAGTGAAAAGCACCCCAGGTAAACTAATTCAAGGAAAATTTTTCAAGATCTGAATTGACTTTGAGACAGGACTTGGACCTTTACCCCCAATGGAAAATCATGTAATGATACCGTTTACTTATTTGTTTCACAGCTTTACAACATAGAATACAGTACAATCTCTTGAAGAACAGCCTGTTTATAGTGACCATCTCTTTAAAGCAATAGTTTTATTTTTACCAAAAGAAAGACTTCATCATAAGTTTTATTAGCAACACCAGGCTGTCCAGCACCTTCTGACAAAAATTAAGGGCAAAATTTAGGGCAATTTTCAAAAAAATTTAGGGCTAAAATTAGGAATTTTAGGGTAAATAAAAGAAATTTTAGGGCTAAAATTTGGAATTTATAACTAAATTATGACCTCAAAAGACCATGATATAGGCTCAACTTTGCATATTTGACACAAAAGTAACTCACTAATAATGCTCTAGTTCGGTTATAGCAAAAGTGTTACCAGTGTTCCATAGTCACCAGTGAAGAAATGGATTCACTGGTCAACTGCCTTTAAAAAGAGCTGAAAAACTACATTAAAACATAACTAGAATGAAAACATTTTCAAAGTTATAAGTATCCCTGAACAACCAATATTCAATTAGTTAAGCTATGATTAGCCAATAATAAATGGAAGGGGAAATTATGCTTTAAATTTATTTTAGCTATAATTTAATGCATTTATTATCAACATTTATCGTTTTAAGGTTGGTACATTTTCAACAAGTCTTGATCTTTCTTAAAAAATAATAAAAACATTATGACCCACTCAAATCATTCCCAGGAATATTAAAACTTAAATTCAAACAGCAGGGTAAACACCTATGAAGAATTTGTTCAAGATAAATCAGGCTACTAAAAATTGTAGAAATTTCACAACAGTGTCAGTTCTTTCAATGATTTTCAACAGTTTTTTTCCATATTAAAAAAAAAACTTACACTATATGTTATAACACCTGTTCAGTACATGTTAATGTATACCAAGGTGTCTCTTCTTAGTACCCTAATTGGGTAGCAAAATGGTTAAAGCATCCAATAATTACTGCCAGTTTACGTTACCCACTTTATAATTAGCAAAGGAACTTGTCTAGATCTGCAGCTGGTATCACTTACAAAAGATCTGTTCTACAGTCATCACTTGAAAAATAACTTGATAACAAATTAAGACTTTATCAATAAGGACCCCTACATAAAGTTTGATGAAATTTGTGGTTCATCATGTAAATAGTTGCTTTAAATAAACCTAAGACTGAGGTGCAGTGTAAATGGTAAAACTCTATAGCCAATAAAAATGTAACTTCCTTGGAAATTTTTTTATTACAATTTTAAACAGGTGACTATTTTGATATAGTCAAAGTTCGACAATTTTCATTGTTCCATTTAAAATTTAACTTGTGATCGAAACATGGTTATTTCGCGATATGTTTATCACAAAAGATAAAAAATAGGAATTTAAGTGAAAAAATAGGGCTTTTTTAGGAATTCCCTTTGAATTTTTCATTTTTTTAGGAATTTTAGCCAAACTAAAAAAAATTAGGATTTTTTAGGAATTTTAGGGACGCTGGACAGCCTGCAACACCTCTCTGCAGCAACTAAAATTTGTCGCAAAGGGTTTTGCTCTACAGATATTGTACTGTACTAACATTTAGGGGTTAATTATTAAAGGAACTCCACTGAGGTCCAAAAGCCTAAAAACATAAATTTGAATTTCTTACGTAGATAAGCTGGAGCACTTAAAACAAATAGATTTCCATGATAGAAATAAGAAATCTACCGGTACTCAGAAATAAATTGAAAATCATGATTATGCTATTTTTAGCATGAATTCAATGAAAAACATAACATTTTTTTAATTTTGGGTAATTTTTCATAAAATTATTATTATTCTGAAAGAAAACAGAGCGAGGTAATGATCTGAAATTTGGCTCACATATTACTGGTCTTCAAATGAAACATTAATTTTGAAAAATTGTCAGTCCTGCCATGTCAAAAAA